AAAAAAAAAAAAAAAATTAATAATAATAATAATAATAATAATACCTAATACTGTGTGAGGCTAGGCTCGCTTTAGCCTCACACACCAAGTGTCCCCTCAGTCGCTTTGTAATAAAGCATTTTCTGCACATAAAACATCATATAACCTTGAGCAGTTCGGACAACATGATCAGCAACTCTAGTAATCCAAGCATCGTCACACTTGAACCACTCATCATTCAATCTCAAGTAAGTCACATAATGTCCCGCGTCAAGCTTACCCGAGTGTGTGACCACAGCAAAAAGCTCAAACTGCGCATCCACCTCAAAATTGAACAACATTCTATTCCCAAACCTTCTCCTAACAACAGACGACGACAGGTAAGGTGACATGTCCAAGGAAAAAGGGAACTGCAAATAGCTGTCGACTTTTCTCGACACTTTCCCAACCGAGGAGTGCTCGAACCTCTTGATGTGGAAGCAAGTCACCAAAGGGAGCTTTCGTATGGACATCTGTTTGAGGGACTCTTGCCTGACCTGACACTGCTGGCAGAAAAATTTTTGGTCGGAACCTAATCTCTCTGCTCGAGTGAAATGGTCGAGGCAGCCCAATAGAGTCGGGGGTTTTTGGCCAGTGTGGTTCGGTTTCAAGTCCAACGATATATCTACGCATGGATCGTATGTTGTGGATGTGAAGCCACAGGATGTGCACATCACGTCAGATCTTAGGATGCCGGAAAATACACGGTGCGCAATGCAGCAATCTCCGCTCACTGCAAAACATAAGATGATCCCTAATTCTATTATCGCCACACAATCGACCTTCTAAAATTTTAAGATTTCATTCAGTTAATGGATCCTATAAGCTTCAGAAATGAGTCCCCAGTTAATGAAATTTCTTATTTTAACATTAGTTTAATCAGAAATGGAAGTAGTGAATTTATAATGCTGGGACATTTTATGATGGCATGTGCAAGAATAGAGACTCAGAAGCATATTGCATAAGTCCTAAAGATTCATGAATTCCATTGTAACTATAGCCTGATAAATGAACCCTAAAGGGCATAGTTTACTTGATAAAAGAGAACCAATGGGCTGACAAGATTTTGGGCCAATAGAAAAACACCAAATTGTTTGAATCAGAAAAATTCAGATTGATAAGGCTTAAGGAAACTTCAACACTCGTCTTCCAATGTAATGACTCTAACAGCACGACCGAAGTTTTGCAAATTAATTAGTTGTACACAAGAAGAAGCCTATGATGAAAGCTAAAGTGCACCAAAGAAAGTGGGACTTACAGGAGGGAAGCAGATGGCAAGCTTGCAGTTTGAATACTGGCCCTAAATCTGACAGCATTTGCCAAAATCAATGCCTAAAGGCAATTTGAAAACCTAGACCAGTATCCTGCATTTAAAATTGTTGTTATTCTATCATTTGTTGAAGGATTTTTAGGTTGCCTAGATCAGATGACATACTATGTATGAGAAGTAGGATGCTGAGGGGATAAGAGGATGTCAAGGATTCCTGGCTTACATTCTACATATTCCAAGAAAATGTATTCATTTATCATGAGACATCAAAAACAAAAATATGAAATCCAGCTTAGTTTACTTACAAGACCCAAAACAATAAGGAAAACATCTGTCTACATTTTTTCCATGAATATCCCTTCACCATTTTAAAATATAACTTTCGTCATCTTTTAATTCTTTACTGTTTGTTATAAAAAAACAAAGCCCTGTGAAATCATGAACCTAAATCCCACAATATATTACCTTGGGTGTGGGCCTTTCGCCTGTCCTTCAGCATCTTTTCATGAATGCCATCAAGCATGGAAATGAAGAATTCATGTGCATCCTGTTGCTCATAGCTTGCAAGATTTGAAGCATGTTGCCACCAACTGCAACAAAAAATTATGTCAACGAGGACATACATGGAAGTTAAAGGTAGGTGCTCATAAGAATAAAACATATTCACAGACAAGACTATCAAAACTTGAAAACAGAGTACCAAAAGTCCTTCGTAGTAACTTAGCTGTACACAACATTGGCAAAAGAATATGAAGTCACTTCATTTTCCAGATTCGAAAAAATTAGCTTAACATAACGATCCCATATAGAGAGAAAAAAAAATAAAAAAATAATCCTGTCTTTATACATAACGCGACGCGAACCTGTATAAGAATTTTGCTGGGCTGTACGGCATTCTCTCCCCTGAGAACACAGCCGAGTAAATAGCATCCAAATCACACGCTAGACACAACTGCACATTCTTATTGTTGCCTTTATTGATATCACTCTTCCGAGTAAGGATTGTTCTATTTTCTCTTTCACAATAAAACCTATTGTGCTTATCACTCAAGAAATAATTCCTCAAAGGAGGTGTATGAAGAAGTGCCTGCAAAACCGAGTTCATGAAGCACGTGTTCCCGAGATTGCTGAGCCCACGCAACCCCCAAGGAACAACTAACGACTCACCGCCGGGTCGACTCGCCGAGTCACCACTGAGTTGATTCGATGGCAGGGGGCTAGAATTCTCCGCAATGAACGCCCGCTCCTTCAGATCGGGAGTCCAAGGTTTGTAATCCACCCGCCTCCGCTTCCGCAGATTCTCCGGCGGAATAAGCGGCCCACCTCCGGCGGCGGCCGACACGACAGCGGCGTCGAAATCGCGGTCGTACACCTGGTCACCGCACGCGCAGCAGAAAAGCTCGGCCCTTATCACGTCGACCGCCACGAGATGCGAGGTGACCTCCGCGTGGGCGGCGACGTGCGCGCTGCACACGATGATGGCGCACGACACGCAGGCGTAGAGCCTCGGCGGCGCGTGGCCACAGGTGTCGCACTGGACGACGCGCTCCCCGCGGCGGATGGAGGCGCGCCCGAGGGGATGGACGCGGATAGAGCCGCGAAGATTTCGGAAAGGGTCCGGGCCAAGCTGGGACCGGAGCTCCGACAAATGGTGGCAAGAATAATTAGGGTTTGCGGAATCCGTCGAATCCGAAAGCAATTTCTGAGATTCGGCCGCCGGTTGGTTTTGGGTTTGCTTGTGATCCGATGATGTCATTGACCTGGTAAGCGCCCTTTGCAATGGAATAATCAATCAGAAACACAAAATCAAATCCAAATTTAGCCTGAAGCAGAGGATGATAGAGCTTGGCAACAGTAAGCAAGTACAGTGCAGTCAGATCTAAGTGCATTGACCTTAAAAATTTAAAATACATGCGTGGGCGACCGATTAGCTGTCATTAGATTTTGTTCTTAGGTCTCAAATTCCTGTAATAAAACAGCAAAAGGACTATTGTATACTCAATTGCTTCTTAGGTCTCAAATTCCTGTAATAAAACAGCAAAAGGAGTTATTGTATACTCAATTGCTATTCACCGCCCCTTTTACTAGTCACCGCCCAGAAATTCTATGGTGCCCATATGGGCACCATATGGTGTCATAAATCTCACGATCCAACGCCTAATATCCATTCTATCAATTCCACAATGAATACTAAGCGTTGGATCGTGAAATTATGGCACCATATGGTGCTCATATGGGCACCATAGAATTTCTGGTCACCGCCCCCTGTTTACTCTTTTGTCCTTAACTATTTTTCAGACTCTATCTCTCTAAACTTTCTATCTCTCTAAATTCCCGAACATTCAACGAGCGATTCGAGCATCGATAAAAATCCAAAAAAATATTAAAAAAATCCTACGGCATCGACAAAGCGTTCTTCTCTAGCAAGGTAATTTTTTTTTTTTTTACGCATGAATAATTTTTAATTTTTTTTTATTCTGAACCGCGTCCGGCCGTCGCCTCCGGANAATTATAAATTATAATAATAATTAAAAATTATAATAATAATAAGTTGAGTAAATTGTAATTAATTATAAATTGTAAAAATAATATTAATAATTATAAATTATAAATGCTAATAATAATAATTATTATAAGAAATAATAATAATTTTTAATAATAATTATAATTAAAATTAATTATAATAATAATTACAAATTAGAATTAATTATAATTAATATTAATAATTTGTAATAATAATTATAATTAATTATAGTAATTATTATAAATCTCAACAATAATAATTAAAGTTATAATAATAAAATTTATATATTAAAATAAAAATGAATTATAATCTATTTTAATAGTTATTAGAATAGTCATTACATATGGAAAAATATAATAATTATATTTCTGATTCAGGGTGTTAGCAGACCTGGACAATCTAATGCTAGGGACGACGACGAGGCGTTCGATGACTATTATGATGGTTCTGGCACCCGACACACTAGAAGTCGGGGTGTCAATGCGTCCGTTCGCCGGGACAGACAGGCGATGATCGATGAGGCTCGGAGTGTACAGATTCGTCAGGCTAGCCAGAGTTCGAGACACCCTGCACCAGTGCGAGATGTTCATTTTGAGGGCCAGCCAGATAGTTCGCGACTCCATGGAGTCCTCCCGTACGGTGAGCATGGATTTTATTATCCTGGCCAGGCAGGCAGTTCGATGCCCCCGGCACCAGGACCGTACGATCAGTCGGGATATGCTTTTCTCCGCTACGCAGGGAAGTCGATACCTCCTCGCGCACGCGTACCATTACCCTATGGTCAGTAGGGGTATGCTGATGAGTCGTACGGCGAAAGAGAGCAGGGTTCAGAGGAGTGTGACTCGGACGACTCCTCAGATGATCAGGACCACGCACAGCCTACGGGTCCTTGCCACCCTCGTCCTCCTGTACAGCCTGTTCGTTCGGTACAGCCGGTTCTACAGCAGGTTCGTCCGGTACAGGCTGTTCGTCCTACACAGGCTGCTCCTCAACGACAGGCTGGGGGGCGTTTTGGCCCATCTACATCCTCATTAGGTAAATAATTTAAGTATTTATTGTTGTTTAACATAAATTATTTTCACTTAATCATAACAAATTATCGGTACTGTTAGAAAAATATTATCGGTCTGCTCCTCAACTACGGTATAATTAATTTGTAATTTAGAGGAATCATACAATTAATTAGTTAGAAAATTATTATAATTATTTTTATTATTGTTATAATCAATTAGTAGTAATGTTGCATAATAAATTAGTTTAAAATTTTCATTATATTTTATTAATGTAAAATATAACGTTTGTACATTAACTGAAAAAAAAAAAGAACGGGAAACTTATGAAATATGTTTTATTAAATATATTTTATTTAATACATCTTCCAGCAAGTCAATATATACAGATATGTTGTATTTTAATGCAGGTACTAGCAAACGATCTAGGACCGATGATGATGCACCCTGGATCGTTAAAGGCCCAGTGGCCGGTGGGCTCATTGATGGGAGTGTCATCCCTAGCTTTCTAGGGCACGTCGCCTTCCGCATGTGAAATCTGTATATTTTGTGGTAATTGTGTTGAGTATTGTCCAACAATAATATTCGTCCCGGTTTAACAACAGCTACCCAATATTTCAAAATAGTATCGAGAATAACCGGAACTCCGGTTCCTTGGGGGGATGGATCTATAAGAATTCACCTATCCCAATAACAAAAAACCAAGGGAGGCTCTCGTTTTCCCTTGAACCTCTGGTCGGATAAAGCAGCCCCAAAATTGGCTTGGTTTCAAGATGTGGAGATTTGAGGGGGCCGCTGAAATGCCACAACAGACTGAGCGATCGAGAATCTGAAGGCTTGGCGTGAAGAGATGTTTTCCGATGCGAGAGCTCTTCTCGACCAGACCGGGCTGTCACATTTGGCCGACTCCATGCACATCCACTTGGACACCCCACTCCTTTCTGCGTTTGTGGAGCGATGGCAGCTGGATACTAACTCGTTTCACCTGCCTTTTGGTGAAATGAGCATCATGCTGCACGACGTCCGGGCCATTTTGGGCGTTCCTATGGAGGGAGCCGTGGTCGCTGAGGACCCGGATTTCGGACGCCTGCCATGGGCTCTGCATGTCGATACTTTCGGTCACCAAGGGCGAACTCATGAGTTCGTTTTGGCAGCATGGTTCGGTGTCCAAAGCCGCCATTTCGGGGGCATTCAGAGGGAAAGGCCGACCGGCTAGGGATGAGGCGGGTGCCTGGATGTGGGTGATGCTGGCTACCACATTGTTCGTCGACAAGAGTGGTAGTAGAGTGACCCCCAAGCTCCTGCACGAGGAGCTCGACGGCTTGGATTTGATTGAGGGTTACTCATGGGGATCAGCTACGCTGGCATACATGTACAGACAGCTAGGTATTGCCAGCTGAGGGGACTCTGCCCAGATGTCGGGCTGCTTGACTCTTCTGCTGTCTTGGATATATGAGTATTTCCCCGATTTCCGACCCCGGGGGCGTCTACCCATCGGTCCTGGCTGTCTCGCACGATCACGCTCGTGGAGCGTAGGGAATGCGCCACGGTCAGACGATCGGCTCACAGCCATCCGTCGGCGCCTCGACAGACTCACTGCCTCCGATGTACGTGAAGTTATTTTATTTAAATTTAGTTACCCGTTATTTAAAATAATATAATTATTTTTAAAAATGCTTTTATGCAATTGTGAACAGGTGCAATGGTTACCATACGACAGCTCCAGCCCAGATGCGATAGAGCCGAGGACTCTTTATAGCGGATTGATTCGATACCGCGATGTCGTCGAACCGTACTTGCCTGCGCGGTGTTTGCGTCAGTTGCGGTATGTCTAGACTGTCCCTCCCCCTACATACCCTTCAATCAGTGCAGTACGTGTTTGGGAGTCTAGAAACTACAGGGTTGAGCATTCTGAGGCTGCTGCAGTAGGTGCCTGGACCGAGTTCCCGATTTCTAGGACGGTCAACACCGGTATGTTGACCCCCACCACACAGGATCGCGGGGAGGCGACTGAGGATTACCTGCAGTGGTACAGTCGGGTTTCCCATCCGACTCTCATGGGCGAGGAATTGCCGGACGAGAACGAGGTCCCTACGCGTGTCAATACAGCCTATGTAAGTTGGTTACTAAATTTAAACCAATGTTATTTCATTAACATAATTTTTTTTTAATAAATTTTAGTCATATTTTTTTATTCTTTCATTTTTTTAGTGGGTGGACCGTCTTTTCGGCATTACATCGACCATGCAGCAGTTCCTTGTTGAATGTCCGGAGGCGGCAGAAGTCCAAGAAGATTTTGCTAAGTTTAAGTTGGATTACGATAATGCCCAATAATGATGTAATGAATGTTTTTTTTTTTATTATTAGTATTGTAAAACATTAAGTTGAATGATTTTTTTTTTTTATTTATTATTTGTAAAACATTTAAGTTGAATGGTTTCTTTTATTTTTTATAGTATATAGTATTTTTAATACATAGTATATACATATATGTTATAATTTAACTTCAATTTCTACCTATATGTTTTAACTTCTATTATTTTTCATACAAATCACGCGTTAACGATCCACGTGACATGGTAGACACGAAGGATAAAAAAAAATCACAATTACAAATGTAGTACCATTTCGAATGAAAAATAGTACCGCATTTGCTTCTGAGTAGTACCACTTTTAGTTCATACGTGATTTGAAAAACGTATTCTTAAAATACGTGCTTTTTATTTTTTTATTTTTGTCCACTTAATTTTTTTTTTTTATATAAATAAATAATTCTTCATTTTGTTTTTTATTTGCTAAACTTAAGTTGAATGAGAAGCGTCATACCACAAGTGAATAATATTGTTCTTTTATTCAACAAGGTTTTTTTTGAACAGTAAACCACAATCGCAACCTAGCCTCGTACTGATCCTCCCAACACACAACCGATCGATCTCGATAACGGAACCACATGGAATGAATAGACGGCAATGGACAATCATGAGTCAAATCTAAACGAATGTAGTGTTCTACGGTACCAAGATGGCACATGACAATCTCACGACATGGTCCTCTAGCCGATGATCGTGCAATGAGAGGCAACACTGTGATGCTGAATAAGTCGTGCTGCCCATCTTGCGGACCAGAGCCCAACAGAACGACAACCGCATTAAATAGGGTCGCAACGGCGTAGAGGTCCTGCGGAACTTCAAACCAGTGAGACCGTCCACAAGGGCCGTCGGCCCACCTTACGCGACGGAGTCCGGTGTCGATATCTCTAAAATAGATGTACTCGTACAATTCACGGTGGTTGTCGACCTCATTCGCAATGCTTTCTCTTGCATCTGCCCAGTACTTCTGGTGACCATACACGTGACTCGCGATGACCCGAAATCCGCAGTTACCATCCGCATCCACATTCAGGTAACTCACTATGTAGTCCAACATATGCCATGGGATATTTTGCCACATTTAAAATCCAAATATATTTGTCGGTCTAA